TATATATATATATATATAATCTCGTTCACATAATTTAAGTTTCAGTTCGTATTAATCATCATCTTCAATTTGTTTAAAAAATTATAATATAAAATGAATGAATTATAAATTATGCTTTATTTATAAAATGAATGGTATTTCTGTTAAATAAGATATTTATCTTTTATCTTTATCAGCATTATATAATTTATTCGCAACAAAGATTAATTTTATAAATAAAGATGAGTTTTGTTAACCTAACTTGAAACATCGTCTGCACTTTCTAATAGGAAGTGCAGACGATGTTTTAAATGTGCAGACGATATTTGCATACGATGTTTACAGACGATGGAACGGAGAAGTGACCCTTTTTTTTTTGGAAATTCTAATAACTTAAGCAGAGGCTATTCATACCATGAATTAGCTTGTCTTATCATTTAAATTTTCACCTCATATGAACATAATTATTAAAATCTATACTTTGAGTAACCGACAATGTATTTTACGGAAAAATGTATCGCTTTTCGAAAACGTTGCAACACGTCTTTATAGTGCTAAATTATAATTTTAGGTGTACCAGATATAAATGAGCATTTTTATTGAAGCTGACCTTGAAAGAGGAACTAAATTATTCCTCGCAATTATGTGAAGCTTTCAAGAACAAGGCTGAACTAAAATAATGAAACAATCGCATCTGACAACACTTTCAAAAAGAGAGGAAAGAAATCATACAATGAGGCAAATGTCTTTCAGAAAGTTGTGCGGAACATTGATTATTTTGGAACTAAAAAAAAGATGAAAATAAATCAGGTCAATATTATAATTTCCCAGTTTCATTCATTCAAAAGCAGTATTTCAGTTAATTTTTCGATAATTTATAATTATTCTCACTTTTAAAGAATCGAAACTAAATTAATCGAACAATGACAACAATTTCCTTATAATTGGAAAAAAAATCATTTAATTAGATTTTTTTTAATCTAAATGAAGAAAAGCAACCCATGTAACTTTAACTTTAAATACAATAGTTTTTTTTTATCAAATTTATAGATTTTATAAATATATATTTCAGATCTACACTAAAAAAGTTTAAAAAGGGCAACACTTGGACCCTTCTTTCTCTTAAGGTGTGAAACAATTTTCAGCTTTCCTTGTGTTATTTTTTTTATTTTATTTTTTAACAGGCATTCAACATCCAACCCAATTTTTAAGTTAAACGACTTCCAATATTCAACTCCGTAGCCTTGTAATTTTGAACCCAATCCAGAAGACAAGGGAACTCCGAGATCAAGTATCGGAAGAAATTCACCTTCGAGGAGAACTATTTATGGTCAATTATGGTACTTTCTGTTCGAACTAACTCTTATTTGAGTTACTTGGAGAAGAAAACCACGAAAATCTCCCATGGTTAGTCAGATGACGCGGGGACTCTAACCCATGATCCGTCTACCACTGAGGTTATTTTAAATTTTTTGTGCTTCTTTCTTCTTCTTCTTTTCGTCTTTTTCGGCACTACAGCCTATGACAGGCCAAGACCGTCTCAATAAGTTTTTGCCATCTTGATCATCTCTTTGGGATTTCTGAACTATGGAAAACTATGCTTTTTTTGTGCTAATTGATAGATTTAAGGTTAGGTCCTTGAACATAAGATTGAATTCTATCATTAGAGCAAAAGTTATTCAATCTTTTTATTCTTTCTTTTTTCCCCACTTTACCGAGAATTTTCTAAACAATAGCAAGAGAAAATATTATAGGCTTATTATACTGCTATTCATCATAAATAGCAAACATATAAATTATGTTTTGTTCAGTTCTAGTAAGGAAAATTTCGATCATTAGAGCAAAAGTTATTCATGACCTTCATTCTTTTTTTGCGCTCTTTACCTAGAATTTTCAAACAATGTTACAAATTACTTCACTAAACAAATATTTTACGAAATAGATGTAAACCATTTAAAACCCTAGATTCTAAAATAACTGGTATTTAATCTTCGTTATTAAATACTATTTAGGAATCAAACAATTGTGAATTATTTTGAAATTGTGAAGAATGTTTAAGAATTGAACTGTTTATGCAGTTCCATTATTCATAGAATGCTAATATGAATATATATTTCGCTTCCCGTATTACAAAGGTTAATATTCCGAAATAAATTCATATCATGGAAACTCGGATTCTAATATAGTTAATTTAGTTTAGTTAGTTTAGTCTGTTTTAAGATAAACTTATAATTTCAAATTGCATTACGGACTAAAATTAGTATTAAGTGAATAATTTTAGAACGCATATCATGTTCAAAGTCAATATGTAGTATCTTAAATCACTAGTTCATCAAAAATTTCTTATCATTTGCAGGGTTTGTTGATTTAAATCAATTTGATTTAAATCACGATTTAAATCAAATGATTTTTTCTAAAAAAAAACATTGATTTAAATCAAATGATTTTTTTTATATATATATTGATTTAAACAGTTAAAAACAGTGGTTTAAATCATTAATACTTCATTATTTTCTTTTTTTAGTTTTAAAATTTATTTTAAATCAATTGCTGCTTTAATTAATTTTAGTTGACGAAACTAGATTTTTAAAAATCTTTTGATTCTTAAGATTGAAAGAATTATTTTTGATACATTTATAAACACAATCTGTTACATTTATTTTGCCATTTTAAAAATTAAGAGAAAAAAAATCACAAATTTAAATTATAATTACGGTTTGGTAATTGAAACTTTGTTTTAATAGTTAAATTATTCTTTAAACTGTCTATTTCATCTAGTCTTTAAATTTCAATCTTGCATTTTTTTCGAAATGATTGCTATGCATTCAAAGGTATGTATTATAATGAAAAATTGTTTTAGGTATTTATAGTTTCTAAAATATGGTTATAATATAGTTTTAATATTAATTTAATTTTGATTAAACATTTATAAAGTTTTTTTAATCATAAATCAAAGTTCTTACAGTGCATTTAAATATAAGTCAAAAAAATCCAATTTAGATTTTTTTTAAAAATTGATTTTTTTATTTTTTTTATTTATTTAAAAAAAAAATCCAAAAAAATCAAGAATCGTAATTTTTTGATAAAAGTGTGTATTAAGGTGATGATACAAAGGCTCGTAAAATATTGGTATTAGTTTCTAATTCATTACAAAGCATTTTTAATGTAGTTATTTTAAATAACATGTTTAGTTTTCCGAAGTTTATTTATGGAATAAATACATTTATTTTTTTACTCAAATATCTTTCTTAGTTTTAATTGCTGAAATTCCCAGTAATTACAAATATTTTCGAATGATGGATTAAATGACTTCTACACTTGTCATTCTATGAATGACAATTGATAAATGTTCATTGCATAAAATAACAAAATGGATCCCCTTTACTTCTTTTGATCTAATGAGCAGATCTTCACGTTCTATGAATCATTCTTAGTGGTTCGGACATTCACCAAAGTGATTGTTGACATTCACCGGTGAAAGTCGACATTCTCTCGATTTCTGTCATTCACGGTATTACATGTATTCCCAATTTTTTTTCGACCCAGTTGAATAAAACCGAATATCAGCCTACTACCAAAAGTAATTATTTAACGCTCTTTGTTTTGCACTTTAAATACTTTTCTTCAGAGACAAGGGACTAATTTATGATACGAATAAAAATTGAAGCAATTTTGTTCATGGACTTGAAAAAGGAACCATCTTTTCAGAACGCCCATTTTCTTAACTGCACATTATCTTCCTGTGAAAAAATCATTTAATCTTTTTAAGAGGATTACAGTTCCTTTCATTTTTTAAAGTAGTTTTAATCTAATAGAAATGCGAGATTAAGGATACACTCTATTAATCACTCGGCTCTCAAGTTCGACTTTTGATTTTACTTTCACTCTTTTAAAAACTTTGCTTTCACTGACATAAATTTAAACAATCGTTTGAATCGACTTTTTTTTAAATGGATACAATTCTTGCTTTAATTGGCATACATTTAAACTCTCGTTGACAATAATTAGAAACCTCACTGTCTCTTTCATTCGGCATAATTAAAACTCACATTTGAACATTTTTTCATTTTTTCTATTCAATACAATTGGTGCTTTTTTTCATTAACAATAATTATGACTCGTTGGCAAAATGTATTCCTCTCATTGGGTCCTCGATTTCCGAAAAAAGATAGTATGACAACCTTATTTTTGTAAAGGCAGTGAAAAGAGAAAAAAATGCTCTCAAAAAGATTCACCGTTAACAGAGCTATTTGTTTAATTTTTTCTCTTTTTCAATAACAATCGTTTCAACTCTGTTGTTGTATTTTCGTGGGCTGCAGAGCGGAATGAAAATGAACTGCTAATCTTGAAGCTTGAAGAAAAACAAGCGAATTGTAACTACTACAAGTTCAGCAGTTAACAATTTTCCAACAAATCAAAGATTAAATATACATTGAATTCCCTTAGACTTGTACAAATGGAAGAGTTTTCTTCAAACTTTATCGCGAACAACATGAAAGAGCAGCAAGAAATTTATGACTTGAACTAACAAGAGCGTTTGTGGCTGTTTAGGGTGTGCGAGCACAAGCATTGTCTATGAATCATCACTAATGATGAATCCTTAGAGCGCTCGCTTCCTAATAAGGTGAACTGGGTTCGAATCTCGTGAATAACTGGTTGGTTCGTATTCCGCACCCGACTTGCACCGACCACAGTGCTGACGTAAAATATCTTCAGTGACCGACGATTCATGGGTTAGAGTCCCCTTGCCGTCTGGCTAACCGTGGGAGGTTTTCTTGGTTTTTCACTCCATGTAACGATGTCACTGGTTACCACCATGCCACTGGTTACCCATTGATCAAATGCTTTTTTCTTTCTGGATTGACTCCGTTAAACATTTCGAATCATGAGGTTGCAAAAACTGTCATCAATTGATGTTTGTCGTTGGATTGATTTTCATATCCTATGAACGTGTTTCACAAAATACTTTTCCTTCTTCATTCATTCATTCAGCATTCATTGAAATCACCGTCAAGTCAGTCATTATACGTTATTAATAAAAGGAATATAAAAAAGTACTTTAAATTATTATTATATGCAAATACATTAAAAATGCCTGCTAGTAAAAATAAATATAAAAACAGCAGCGGTCGCCATAGCAACGCATGCGCACTGTTTACTATTACTCTTGAACACAGTTGAAAAGAGTGTGGACGCCATCAGATCCAAAACAAGACTCATTTTGTCAATGGGTAATAAATGTAAAAAGTGAGAAAAGTAATATATTTACCAATAACTGCTGCACAAAGTGGCAATAGAATTCCGATAGTGATGATGCATTTGGTGTTCCTTCCCTTTGCTGAATGACGATCCACCGTCGACCGGTGTCTACTGCTGCCGGAGGACAGCGTTCGATGCGAGTCTCGACTCATTCTGTTCGAACACACAAAATGTTAAAAATATTCTTTAATCCATCTTTCTCAGTCACTAAAAATGAGGCTGGAATCAAACGATCCGTCAAGCTTCATTACACACCCGAGGAAAATGCATTCATAGACATAACGTTTTTATGTTTGTTTTTTTTGTGTTCGTAGTTACAAATTCAGTCACCGCTGGTCAGCGACATGCTGTCAATTGCAGTCAAAAGAAAAAAGACAAAAAAAGTAGGAATCAGTTCAACTTGAGGCATCTGTTACGGAGGACCTTGAAAGAAGAAATAAAGAAAATAATTGTTGATCAGTGATGCGTTACATCCATTTTAGAGAATTGAGGAAATATAAGCATATTTTACTTTTACTGAAATCAGTGTAAATGACGATGAGAAGTAAAAGTGCCTCGCTTAATGTCAGAATGGTCACTTCGTGACGTATCATGTTTCTGTAACCGAGTTATTGGAACATTGACCGAAAACTTATCTCTAGAGCAACAATTTCAGTTGTTTATGTAACAAAGCTCCAAATTACATTCATCGCATGCCCGGTGCTTGAATTTGCATAGTGAATCAACAGTATCTTCATAAACTCAAATTTTTCTGTGACCTCAACGTGCCTTCAGAACTAACAAACATGTACAGTCCCTGGTTAAATTATTAGACACACTGTAAGATTCTATGTAAAATCTTAATTATCAGGCGATACTCTATACAGCTGTATTGTTTTTATGTGACTGTTTGCACTTGTTTACGTGAGTGTATCAATGGGTTAAATGAGACGATATCTAATATAAATTCGGCGATTGGATACATACAGGGGTCCCCAACCCTATGCCCGCGGGCACCATGGCGCCCGTTGATCGGTCTAGGTGCGCCCGCTGCTTGTGCCCAATGATAAAATATTTCAGTTTTTCATTTTCCCATTAAATGCTATAAAATTTTTTGTTTATTTATTTATTTTATTTTATTTTTTTTGCTTTTTCAATATTGATGATAAACACAACCAAAATAGAAATCGCCAGGAAAACGACCTGCATCCCCACAGATATAAAAGCACAAAGCAAAATATAGCTGACTTCTATACTATGTATATAGCTGACTTCTATACTGACTATACTTTGTATGTTTTGCAAGCAATTTAGTAATCATTTATTTTACACAAGAATATTAATACTAATTATATTCATATAATGAATTAACTTCTAAAATTAAATTTTGTGTGCATTATATGTAGTGTGCAGTATTACCTATGTCTACCAACTATGAATTTATCTTGAAGAAATAAATGGTGCCCGCCCGCCATTCGACCGATATTCTGGCATTTGCTCTTAGGTACAAAAAGGTTGGGGCCCCCTGCATTAGACGATATATTATATAAATATAGAACATTTATTATATCAAGCATTATATTAGTCTATTATAATAATGAGATTAAATTATTAGACTTTCTGTAGTGTTTTAACAATGACATGATTTAGACGAGTTTACAGGCATTACTTTTATATTTAAACATAAATAAAATGGATTTTTATTCAGGAAATTTTTTATATACTTATATACTTCCTATTAATTTACATATTTTATTTCCTATATATTTATTTATTGTTAACCTAATGTTACAGGAGCGTGAACAAGTTCAAACTGGTTTCCTCCGAATAAAAACAATACAGCTGTATAGTATCTCTTGATAATTACAATTTTACATTAGAATCTTACAGTGCGTCTAATAAACCAAATATTATTAGATTATCTAAATGGATTATAGATAATCTGAATCTCATAGAGATTCAGATAATCTAATAGATTACCTGAATTATGGTTGTATGTACTGCTTTTGTAGTCGGTAATTACGGAAGAGGGGGTGCGATTGTTCTTGCTTTTTCAGGGGTGCCATCTATAACCAGGAATTCGACTTCTGCCACACCCATGCGTCACGCCCGTTCATAGGGCGGACCCATTCATTCATCCACGGATCGTAATTCTGGCCTGATTCAGAGAGCGATCCATCTCAAATCCTCGAGGTATAATTTGTTATGAGAACATGGAGGACTTTGTGACCCAACAGATTTAAAGTGCACCCGTCACCATTTGTACTAAAATATAAAATCCGAAAAAAGTAGTTTTAATTTTTTTTACGTTCATATTGAACAATTTTTAAATAATTGATTTTGTGAATTATGGAAATTTCAATGATAAATTATTCAAGGGCGCCGGCAGCGGGGTGCAAGGGGGTGCACTTGCACCCCCCTGACTTTTTTTTAAAAAACAATTAAAGAGACACAGAAAAACAATTTTGTTATAAAAAATTTTTTTTAANTTTTACTTTTTTTTACGTTCATGTTGAACAATTTTTTAATAATTGGTTTTGTAAGTTATAGAAATTTCAATAATAAATTATTGTTTTTATTTCTTCTGAATAGCGGCAAATTAAGACTAATTTGAAAAAAAATTATTGTTTGGTAGTGGGCCGTCATTGGAATATTTTAGCTTTAATGCAGAAAAAGATACCCGTGTTTCATGCTATATTTCTTAGCCATAAATTAATATAATGCTACATTTAATATTTTTCCACTCATTACGAACTAAATTAATACAAAATAATGAGAGAAAAAATATGGTTAACTGAAAATTCTGCGTCAAAGGGTTATATAGTAAGAAAATTTGTGGAAATTCGTAAAAAAAGTGAAATTAGTTTTAAGGGACTCGAACTGCTTCTCTTATTTGAATTATGATAAGAGTCCATCTAATCATCAAAGATAGTTTTTTAAGATCATATCAAAAGTTTTTTTTCTGATTTTGCTCACTGTACATTGCGCTAAATAAAAAAACTGCCCTCCGAATATTCTTTTCGCCCATTATATTGGTTCGGAAACCTCATATAAAATNTAAATTTTTTTTCGGGGGGAGGGGAAGGTAGTTTGTTAGAGGGTTGCACCCCCTTTTATATTATTCTGCCGGCGCCCTTGAAATTATTGTTTTTATTTTTTCTGAATAGCGGCAAATAAACGCTAATTTGAAAAAAATTATTGTTTGGTAGTGGGCCGTCATTGGAATATTTGAGCTTTAATGCAGAAAAAGATACCCGTGTTTCGTGCTATATTTCTTAGCCATAAATTAATACAATGCTACATTTAATATTTTTCCACTCATTACGAACTAAATTAATGCAAAATAATGAGAGAGAAAATATGGTTAACTGAAAATTCAGCGTCAAAGGGTTATATAGTAAGAAAATTTGTGGAAATTCGTAGAAAAAGTGAAATTAGTTTTAAGGGACTCGAACTGCTTCTCCTGTTTGAATTATGATAGAGTCCAGCTAATTAACAAACATAGTTTTTTAAGATCATATCAAAAGTTTTTTTTCTGATTTTGCTCACTGTACATTGCGCTAAATAAAAAACTATGTTCCGAATATTCTTTTCGCCCATTATATTGGTTCGGAAACCTCATATAAAATATCACTTTGAGTAGACGATATTTTAAAGTACCGAATGAAAGACAATAAGAGTTCTCTGAATTCTTTAACGAACAATTTTTTTTAAATAATGGAATACCTGCAAGTGATGTAGTGTGGGTACCTTGATCCTGATGGGTTGTTGAAACGTGGCTTTGTTTACGTTAGCAACTGTGCTTTCCATTCCGTTTTGAGTAACTTAAGCCCATCAAGTATCAGTTCCTCATATGTGACACATTCTATATTCTTACACGAAGATTTCAATTCGCTCACGATATATTTCTTACTTAACAGAAAGACTGACATGAAGTCATGTAGAACATAAAGAAACTAATAATTCCTCACAGTTGCCAGGTATGCACAAAACGAAAATATATCGCGGTTACAATAAAAAGCATAAACAAATAATAAATGTAAGTTAATAAGAAGACATAGATGAGAAAGAATTATATTTCAACAAATTTGATGAGCGATATTCTCTCTGTATTTAACATTCTATAACTATGTGGAGAAAGCTCAAGTTTTTAACACGCCATTTGACTTAGTAACGATCGGTTGGCATCATAGGTCACATGTGTGGGTATGAGATGTCTTCTTCTTCTTCTTCTTGTAAGTACCTTATTATCTATGCAAATCTTAACAATGCAATTAAGCAGTGCAATTTTTTAAAACGAAATTCAAAAAGCGGTTGAATAGTTATGGACAAAAAATATTGAAAATGCGATGATTTTTATATTTTCAAGGATAGTTTTTTAAATTTCGGAAAATGCAAAACTTTCTTTATTAATCAACTTTTCATAGCAACTGAAAAGTTTCCTCTATTATTATGAAAAAGAATTTAAAAAAATAAAGAATTGTTAAACGTAAATTTTTCCTCTTTGTATAAACAAGTTCCCTTAACATACACACGATTAATTTAATTTTCTCAGTTAGCCTTTGAGATACTTCGATATACTTTGAGATACTGACAATATGTACAGTCTCTCACCCTCTCTTTCGCTTGCTACTTTTGATTGGCATTTACTCGAGCACGAGCTTATAAAATAAAGAAATAAAGATCTCTTGATGAGAAATGCATTTTTAATAACAATGGAAATATAGTCAATATTTAAAGCAGAAAAGCTTTAAAAAAAATCCCGAAAAAGCACTTAAATTTACAATAACTTTCTAACAAATAAAAATTTCGAAAGAACAAAAAAACTCTCGTTAAAATTATAATACAAAACGGTCATATCAGTAAATCAAATTTTAACTCTGTAATCATATTTCAAGGAAGCAAAAGTTTTTTTGCTTCAAGTTTAACAGTTAATAATTCTCAGACTAACAATCAAATCGTATTTTTTTTTTTTTATTCCATCGAACTCCTTGTACATTGTTCTATACACCATCGAAATTATCTTAAGATCTTATAGATTTGGAGCAGCAAGAAAAATTGTAACGTAAAGCAAAAAAAGAAAAAGAAAAAAAATTGAGAAAAAATTCGGAAATAAAATTGAAATAACTTGTAGCAGATTGGAATTTCGAAAAACACTCTATATTAAGTTCATAAACAAATGTGGCCCCTTCAGTATGCCAAATTTCAATTCGGTAGTTGCATTTCTGTGACCTGTAGAGCGACACAGTATGATATATTTTCCCCAATAAATTTAACAGTTAATAATTCTCTATTAAAGAACATGATAATAGTTCTGGACCAAGGTGTGTAGAAAAGGGTCCAAGGACTACGATGGAACAAAAAAAAATAGCATTCGATAATTAGTAAAAAAAAAAAAACTGTTGAACTTGTTAAAAAGAAATACCATCCGGGCCGATCTACAAGCCACAGGAATGCTAACAAAGTTGAAATTTGGCATGCGGAAAGGACCATATTTGTTAAGGAACTTAACGCTGAATTTTTTTCGAAATTCCAAATGATTCGAAAAGTACTGTAATTTTTAGGGGTGTTTTGCAATTTTTTTCTCAATTTTTTTTCTTACT